AGGCCCTGGGGTCAATCCCCAGCACCACAGGAGGAAAGGAAGGAAGGAAACTAAATCYAGCAACAAAGTAGGGAGGCTGAGGCTAGGAAAGATGGAGGCTGAAGGACCAGGTAAGAAGGCCCAGACCCTGCCTGAGAGGGGGGAAGGAGAGAAGCCTTTTGGATGTCCAGATGAGAAACTCATTCAGATTGGAGGAATCCAGGCCAGCTTCTTGGAAGAGATGGCACCTAAAAGATGGGTAGAATTTGGACCAGGCAGAGAGGATAGGCCCAGGGCAACCAAGCTGGTTGATCTAAAGCCTAATGATGGCAGGGGTGGGAAAATGGAGGGACACTTTGGCTTTGATTGCCAGAGGCGCAGCGAAGGCACATTCATGTCAATCAATGAAAAGTCAAGGTGACCATCTCTCCTTGAAGGACTTGAAGTAAAGAAGAAGGCTCCTTTATACTCTAATTCCAACCCCAGCACTTACAAACTTTTGTTGCCAAGCCCCACGTATCGTCCAAACAACCCTGGTGAATTGCTGTCCCTCTCTTGGCCTCCGTTTCCAGATTGAGGGGAGCTGGACTTCTTTTAAAGTCCTTTGCATCACTGAGATCTGTAATTCATGACTAATAATAAATACCAAGCTAAAAASTGGATTAAATTGTAAGGCTTGGGGGAGATGGCAGGCTGTGATGTCTATGCTCAGATGAAAAGTGGAAGATCAAAGCCCAGAGCACAGACCCCCTGGCACTGAATATGCCCCTCAGACTTGTGAGGCAGAGACTGGAGGCTCCTGGTGAGGGCCCTGCCTGGGGCTTGGAGCAGAGGCATGCATCCCTGAGAGCTGCGGAGGAGCCTGGGTGGCATCTGAAGACGGGCTTGGGGCCCACATGGTCTGAGGTTTGAGTCCTGTCTCCACTTAACAGTGTGAGTTTGGGCAAGTTGTCCGCAGGGCAAGTTAAGTTACTGAACCATTTTGGACCTTAGTTCCCTCATATGAAAAAATGCAGCAAATACCACTCATTCTTCTATGGCTTTCCCAGAACGTCAACTCAAACTGGGGTCCCTAATTCCTAACTGGACTGAGCTCCTAAAAAGGCTGGGCCTTCCTCACCCCTCTACCCTAGTAATGAGCTAGCACAGCGGGAGGCACAGATCGGGGCGGGGCCGGTGGGGTGGGGGTAAGGTTTGTTAAATGGACAACAGCAGCATCGCAGGGTTCTATGGGGATTCAGTGTCCAATGGCTGTTAAATTCTTACTGCAGAGCTTATCCATGGCAGGTCCCCCATAAATAAGATACATACATCAGAATCCCTGGCCCCCTGAGGTATTGGCCAGGAGGCCCAGGGAAATTGATAGTTGCCAAACAAGGATTCAATAGCTTAATTCATAATCTATGCCAAATAAATGTCTGCTGGGTAGAGGGTCGATGAGATGCATGTGGTGACAGAGACCCAGGCCCTGTCCCCACTGGCGGGCAGAGGCTGAGGGGCCGCATGAAGGCCTATGTTTCCAGGGGCAAGAGTGGACTCCTCATTGAGCCATTCGACAAGTCAGGCCCCTGCTATGTGTTATCTGTGTGCTGTCCCAGGGGCTTCGGGCACAGCAGTGACAGATGAAGCCTGTCTGCCTCCAGGAGAAGACTCCTGTGAGAAAAGCGCAGGAGGCCCAGGGGATGGGGTGGCCAGGTACAAGACGTTAGGCGGGGTGCCAGGGATGCCTCCGTGAGGAGGGGGCATTTGGGGAGAGGCCCAAGGGTCCCAGGGGAGACTTCCAGCCTAGGGGAACAGCAGGTACAAAGGCCCTGAGACAGGAGTCTGCAGACACGGTGAAGAGGCCATGTGGCTGGAATGGAGTCGCTGAGGGGAAAAGAGGAGGTGGGAGCGGGAGGGGAAGGGCCCGTGGCCCAGTCCTTTTACCACAGAGGGAGATGAGAGCCAGGGGAGGGTCTGGGGCTGAGAAGAGACACATCCTGACTTTAGCTTAAGTGCCCCCTTCTTGTGAAGGTTCCCCTCTCTGGACTGCAGCGGCAGGTAGGCCTCGCTCTGCTGGAAAAGCACCCAAATCTGGAAGGAAGAGAAGCACAGGAGGGGGAAGAGCAGGGCCCGGGGACCCTGGGGCAGGGGAGGGTTGTGTGGGTCCTAGGGAGAAGGGCCACTAGGCCCGCAGCAGGAGAGCCTGGCTTCCCTTTGCCCAGACGAACACGGACTGAGCTAGCTGGACTGACCCGGGGAGGGCTGTGGGGATGGTGGGCATCAGGGAGGCTGCCGCCCCTCCAGGAGGAGCGAGGGTGGGGGGCGTGGAGAACCCCAAGGCTCCTTCTTGCCTCTACCCAACAGAACGTGGCTTCTTCTGAAGCAGGCCTTCACTGTCTTGTGTACTTGACCTTGCTGTTATTAGTGGAGTTTCTAATCGAACAATCAGTGACCTTGAATCCATCTCTCCCCTTCACTCAGCTTTTTAGCAAAAGAAGGGGTTTAACCTGGATGGTCTCCCACCAAGCCCCTTCTAGGATTTCTATTAATGGATGGAATCAGACACTGCATCTCCCCTCCCCCTTTAGTGCCCTGGTGGTTTCAATTTCTGTCATGTCCTCTGCTTTACTTCTTTCCCTGCAGCTGCCATGTACAGTGGTGCGGGATGTTTACCGAATAAGTGCACCCAGTGAAGGGGCCAGTGGGGCCTCAAGTCCAGTCCACTCTGTCCACACTCTGCCCAGTAAGTCATGTGCTTATTTATCCAGAGCCTTTTTCTAGTGTGTTCTAAGGTGTGGTAGAGGTGGCCCCACTTCCCTGCCCCTTGCATGCTCCCACTTCCACTCTTGCACGTCCATCGTCTCCTCCATCGGGGCAGATGGGAGGGCCTGGGTGGAGGGGGCAGCAGCTGCCTCTTCTGAGAGGAGCTCTGCCCCCAAAGCCCGCCGTGCTTTTCCTCTCCTTATCGATGCTGTGAGTTGCCTCTCAAAATTGCTCTGCCGTCATTAACACCAAAGATTAGGTCAGATGAGAGCGTGTCTGCAGTCTTGGACGGCAAAGGCAAACCGCTGATGCTGATTATTCCAGATCTTCTGGGCATGGCCCATTCCGTGCTTGCAGTTCTTAATCAGAGGAACGAGCCTCAGTTACGTGGGGGGTGGACCAGGGGCCAAGTCTGGCTGCCAGGCCCAGACAGCATGTCTGCAGCACCTGCTGGCCTGCCTGCCCGCTAGCTCGGACGTCACAGGTGACCACAGTTACTTGGCACTATCATCTCTCAGAGGAGAGATAGTCCATCCAATGGCAATGCCCATTACAATCCATTTGAGCAAGTTCTGGGAGCATCGGTCCCTGGGCCTGGTCAGCAAGTTTTATTTCTGGGGCTCACTCATTGGGTATGAACCGGGGGGTGCTTTTTAGATCCTTCTCCTTCAGGGTCCCTTCTGAAAAGGCTGAATCAGGCTGTGACCCTGTGGCATGGCCACTTGCCTCCTATTCTACCTCCACCAACCCTCAACCTTCTTCTCCAGCTACATCGAGATCCCCAAGCATAGTTCTCTGGCCCTTAATCATGCTGGTGTCCCACAGGAATGCCTGCTCAGCCGCATCCTGTGGGCAGAAGTTCATGGTCAGGGCCTGGCCCATCCCTTCAGCTTTCACCTCTACCACCGCTTTGGGCTCCAGCCCCAGCACCTGCCAGCACCTTTGTTTCTTTGCCTGAGGTTTTCTCTGGCTTCTGGAGCCTGAGTTGCCATTCGGCGGTGCTGGTCAGGCCAGAAGGGCCGGGAAATTGATGCCCTCCAGAAGCAACCCTCAGCCTCTGAGCCAATGGCTGCTCCCCCACCCCTCGGTGGGTAGTTTGAGGCATGTCCCACGGTCTCCTCAGTGGGAATGAGGGCAGCTTCTTCTGGCTGCTGCCTTCCCCATCTCCCCACCACACTCCCCACRTAGCGTCTCCTTAGCCTCTCCAGTAAACTCCTCCCTGTCGTCCTTGGTCTCAGGGGCTACTTCTGGGGCAAATTAAGACAGCATCCTCAGTGGCCATCTCAATACCTCCTGGCTTTGCAGTTTCTCTGTGCCTGCCCTTGTTCTGGCGCCTGGAGGGCTGTCAGTCACTCTCCTCTGTTCCCAGGACCCTTTATGCCAACCTCAGCAGCACTCCTCAGGCCACACTGTGGTTTACCTGTCTGCATGTCCTAGGCCCCCACAAACCTGGGACCTCTTAAGGCCAGATACTTTGTTCTTTCTGCTTTTTTATTCTCTGGATCTAGAACCTAGCACAAAGCAGATGCCCAATATAGTTTTCTTGTTTTGCCAAAGAGCCAGCAAAAGTAAGAGGAGTGGAGTGACAGATACATTCCTACTCTTCCAGAAAGAAACCCTTGGGTTGCTACTCCAAATGCTATCACTTTACAAGGTTGCTTGGTAGAACTTTAGTCTCACCTCTCACCTGCTCAACAACTTGCAATGGCTCCCTGTTATCCCTCTACCCCCCAAGGACTTCATTACATGTGTGACTTTAAGACCTTCCATCATCCAGCCCATCCTAAAATGCCTCTTATCCAGTGTCAGGCTTTGGTCTCACTGCCTGGGTTCAGCCAGTTCCCAGCTAAGTGATCATGGCAAGTGACTTAAGCCTCTCTGAACACTAGTTTCCTTATTTATAAAGTGTGCGTAATGATAGTAATTTTGAGAATTTAAAAATCACACGTGGTCCTTATGAATAATCTACCAACCACTGAACTATACATTTTCAGATGGTGATTTATGGAATGTGAATAATATCTTTTTTTAAAAAATTAAGCATGATGTCTGGTCCAGTTCTTTAAAAATTAAATGGTGGTAATCACTGCTAACAATACTTCCCAAGTGGCCTTGCAGCAAGCCAGGTCCACCGCAGGTGCTCAGTAAATACTCATGGAATAAATGGAGAGCAAATTCCACAAGTACATTCCGAGCATTTGTCTGTTAGGTATGTGGGGGGTGGGAACACAGAGATTCAGATCTGACGTTATTTCATCCCGAAGAAAAGAAGTGTGGTGTTTTACATAAGGAGAGGAGGTTAACACTGCCCTGGACAGGGACGGAAGTAGCCCTGGGGCTGACAACATGCAGAGAGAAGGCATGGCTACCTAATGGCTGCCTACTTCCAGGCTCCTGGTGTTTCTTCTTCAACCAAACATTTGCAGGGTTGTATGATTGTGTGTGTGCATGTGCTGAGGATTGAATCCAGGGACACTTTACCATTGAGTTGAGCCCCAGCCCTTTTTAATTTTTTATTTTGAGACAGAATCTCACTAAATTGCTTGGGGCCGGGCTAAATTTGAAGCTGGCCTCAAACTTGGGATCCTCCTGCCTCAGCCTCCTGAGTCACTGGGATTACAGGCTAATGTCGCCACCACCCTCAGTGCAGAGTGGTGTTTTAAAATATGTTCATAACAAGTTTTGGCAAATTGCTTAAAAATRTTTTTCTGTTTTTGTATAACTCTATTAACGATGTCAAATAAAAAATTAATTATTCTAAGAAAATAGAATGCACTGGAATGAAAACTTCACATTATGCTATGCTGTAAATTCTGGTCTATTATTATGTAGAATAATAATTTTTAAAAAATATGTAGATAACATTGTGTACCTAGCCTGATGGTGTGGCACATGGCTTTAATCCCAGGCACTCAGGAGGTTGAGGCAGGAGCATCTCAAGTTGGGGGCCAGCTTGAGCAATTTAGCCACACCCTGTTTAAAAAATAATAAACAGGTCTAGGGATGTAGCTCAGAGGTAGAGCACCCCTRGGTTCAGTCCCCACTATTAACAAAAGAAAAGAAAAACAAGCAAAAGACCAACTCCACCACTACACTGTATTCCTACTGGTGGTTCAAACTGAATTTTGTAGTTTACTCTGGATTTTTTTTTAATTAAAAAAAAATAAAAATTTCAAAAAAAAAAAAAAAAAAGATCAAAAAGGAAGCAAAGGAACTTGAATATTCTTTGTGGAGGAAGAGTCGCAGGCCCAAATCCAAAAGTGAAGTCTCCTGACCCACCTTCTCCCTCCTGCCCTGGGAATTCCCATCGCCTTTGTCCCTCTCTGTCCCCGGTGGCAGAACAGCAGAGTTGAGTAAACAAAAAACACTTGTCCCAGCCCCAAGAACGCTATACCCTGGCCGTCTAGATGTATTCTGCTCATCTTCTATTCTAGCTCTATCTGATGTGTTGACTTCAAACAGGATATGGGCGCGTCCCCCACTCTCTGGCCGCCAAACGCAGGTCCAGAGGCTCCACGCTTCGCGGTCCAGGCTCAGACTCTTGGCCTCCTGTGAATCAGGTTTGGACAACGTGGGGCGGCGGGTGCGGAAGTGGAGCTCCATGTTAGCAGAGCTTAGACAGGGTGAGGAGGGGCCGCGGGTGGATTTTGTGAGGCAAGACTACGTGCGCAGTCTCCAAGAGACGCCTCAGCGCTACAACCCCAGACCCGGGAGGGCGGGCTGGGGACTGCTAGAGGCTCTGCTGGGCAGGGGGCTGCTGAAAGGTGCTCCAACTCTGTCGTTCCCCAGGGCAGGTCCTGGGGCCTCCCCTCACCCCCCCCCACCCCCGCCTTACTCGGTGCAGGCCCTTACTCGGTGCTGGTTGCATTGAAGCCCGTGGAGCTCAGGCCATCCTCCTAGTCTGGTGGCAGAAGCTTCTAGACCCGGGGGCTGGCACGGCCGTGTGGTCACGACGGGCGGGGGAGGAGGAGGGCGCTGGCGCCCGGTTTAGGTGGCTGACTCCGCGAGGCCCTGGCCCGAGGAGGCATGGGGAAGCACCTACGAACCGACCCAGGGCCAAAAGACCCTAACTGGGAAATCGAGGTGCCCTCTCCCGGCATTGGGGTCGCCACCCTCCCTGCCCAGTAGAAAGTAAGTCCGCTTCTGGGAGAGACCCTGTAACCCGACCCCCTCTATGCACACATTCCCCTCACCCCGCCACCTGTCCTGCCACCTGTCCTGCCTAGACCTTTTTCAAATAGGTGCCCCTTGGTTCACAAGCCCGTCTTCCTCCCCCAGTGCGGAGACCCYAGACCAGGATGGAGGACGGGCGCAGAGGAAGGCGCGCGCACCTGGAACCATCTCTGGCTGTTGCTACCCGTGCGTGTCCCAAGATCGGGAGCCGCGTCCCCACGCCCACCACGCACACATACACACACAGACTCACCCGCTCACACGCACTCAACACCGCGCGCAGACCCCGCCCGCGGCCCCGCCCCGGCCCCTGCGGGCGGCCCCTCCGGCGCTCGCGGCCCCGGCACGCAGCCCGCCCTGGGTGGCGGGAGGCGGCGGCTTCGGGCAGATTTGATTTTCCCGCAGTCCGGGCGCCCCGGAGCCGGAGCCCCAGCCGAGGAGGTGGCGCTCACCGCCGCGTCCCAGCCCCGCCGCCGCCCGCGCCGAGACCCAGGGAGAGGCGGCGCAGTCCGGGCGCTCGGGACTCCGCGCTGCCCGCGCCCTGCCACCCCCGCCGCCCGCACCCCCTCCGGCGCCTCGGTCCCCCACAACCCTCTCCCGGGCTCCTGCACCCCTTCTACCCCCGCCCACAGCCGCACGCCCCACTGCCCGCGCCCCTGTCTACGACTCCGCGCGTCCCTCCCGGTGCCCTCTCCCCGGAGCCCCTCTCCGTCTCTCCCCGCTGCGCCCCAGCTCCCCAGGCTCCTGGCCCCTCTCCGCTGGGCCCCCAGCCTCGTCTCAGCGTCACCCGCGCCCCCTCTTCTCCGCGCGGCCCCCGCTCCCTCCGCCCCCCTCCCTCTCTCACTTCCCACGCCCCCTCTTCGCGCTCCTCTCCGCCCCTGGCCGCCCAGCCCCGGCTCCGGAGTTGGGGGAGAGCCCAGGGCTCCAGTCGCTCCGGAGGAGGCGTGAATCGCGCAGGAATTGACTAATTTGGGGTGGGGGGTGCGGTGGGTGATGGAGCAGCCTGAGGACATGGCGTCGCTGAGCGAGTTCGACTCCTTGGCGGGCAGCATCCCGGCCACCAAGGTGGAGATCACCGTGTCCTGCAGGTGAGCCGCCCGCTGGCCGGGTCCCCCTGCCCCGCCCCTGGACCAGAGCCCCGCGGCCCCTGCCGCTCTGACCCTCTTATCTACTAGAGCCCCTTTCCCAGGGTATCCTCGCCTCCAGGACGCCCCCCACCCCACCCCATCCCACAGTCTGTCAAGAGCCCCTGCCTAGCTGCGGGTGGCGACAGCAGAATGGGAAGCCCGGCTGGGGTCATAGCCCGGGAAAGTTTGCACTCCAGGCTGTTGCTTCGAGGACTGCGGGAAGAGACAGGAACAGGGGTCTAGGCACCAGAGCAGGGGAGGGGAGATGCAGCAGGGTCCCCGCTTGCTGTCTCTGATCAACACCTCCATAAATGGAAAAGGGAGAGACTTGCCCCATCCCTTGCAGGCATGCCAACCTTCCCCATTCTTTGCCCTCTTCTCTCCTCTCCTCCGGTGCTGCTCAGCATCCTTATCTTCTCTCCCCACCTCCTCACGGTCCTAGAACTCAGAATTGCAAAGCCTTCCTTCACCTCCAACAACAGGAAAATGGATCMGATTGACTCATTTATACTGAGGTGTGGATAATCCATAGCAACTTGAAGTGACATAATTAAAAAAAAAAAAGCAAAACAAAATAATAACCTGGGTCAGAAACCTTAAGCCAAAGRCTTGGAACATGCTGGTGAAATTTTAGAATGAGCAGGAGAGAAGGAGTATTTTTGTGGACTGCCACCTCCAAATCCTCAAGTCATGTCACACAGGATTTGTGGTAACTTCCTTAAGAGCTGGCTTCTTATAGTTGTGGCGGTGGCTGCCCCAGGCAGTAAGAGGGTAGAGGTGGAGAAGGGGAGATTTTTCCCTGACACAGCCCTTTTGTGATTGGCCTAGAGTCACCACCTTGCTGGGACTGAGGGGTACTGTGGCTCAGGCATAGCCCTTCTTGAGGTTCCTCCAGTGAGGCATCCCCACCCCCATAACCAATGGCATGTGGAGCCCTTGTTCCAAATCACCCATCCCATCTTCTCCTAGGTCACTTTTTGGCCAGAGTGTCCCTCACCCTCCTTGTGACCCCCCCCCTCCCCGGCCCTATAGTACAAAGTTGAGACATGGATTGGGGCATTGTAGGTAGAGCCAGAGACACTGGTCTGGGTCTTGAAAGAGGGAAGGACTCRGGGGACTTTCTCTTGAAGGCTAGAAGGTGAGGGCGAGTGAAGGCTGGTGGGGTAGAACGGCAGCACCCCCACAGCCAGACCCTCCGGGGGCTGCCGTGATAGCTTCCAGATGCCCCCACCGCCTGCCACAGGGCTGTCGGAATCATCTCCCAGGGCCATTTGCCTCTTGCCATTGCTGTGCTGGGAGATTCCAAATGGCCCATGAGCTCCAGTCTCACCTCCTCAACCATAAACAGGCCCTCTGACTCCTGCCCCTGCTGCACCCCTCGGCCTTCAATCAGCCCCTGCCTCAGAGTCCTCTTGAGATCCTTCCTGTCTCCGGGCCTTAGAACAGACTTCACTCCTCCTTGGTGTTCCCGACTCTGAAGAGCCCAGCCTTGTGCTCTCACCCGTGAGACACCCAGCTCAAATCACTGTCTTCTGTGTTACCTGGGCCCTGGTATACAGCCCTGGCCCAGGGTCACTCATACGTAGTGGGCATCTCAAGTGTGCAGATTTATCCTGAGCATTGGAAGGCAGGGATTCCCAGGCTGCATCAGTCCCCTAAAACCCACCACCCTAGCAGAGAGGAAAGGAGGCAGAAGACAGGTGATAATGTGCTCACAGAGTCACATCTTGTAATAGAATGTCTGATTGCCTGCTAGGGACAAACTTCAAGCCTCCGTTTCCCCATTTGTCCCGTCTGTATGTTCATAGAGAAACCTTGCTCACAAAGGCAGCTCAAGCTTAGGACAGTGCCTGGCACATAGTAAGCCCAAGTACTGTTGGTGGGATTAACTGGCAGGAATGGAGGATCAAGATGCGCCCAGCATGGCGCACCGCGGTGTCAGTGAGTAGCTACAAAGATTACTCAAGGTGATGACATTTGGTCCCCCCTGCTTGCTCTCTGCAAGTGGAGGTGTCCAGAGGATGCCAGTCTCTTGCATAAGAAGTACCTGGAGATGCATCTGAGTCCCTGCAGGTTGTGGTTCTAGGGTTCATCCAGTGTCCATTCCCTCTCAGGGGACATGATCTGTCAGCCTGAAGAGGGCCTGACCTGGGCCCTACCCCTGCTCTCCAAAAAGAGAGTGGGGACGTGGATTTTGACGAGGAGAGATGAGGAGAGAGGAGTCATTTGGAACAGAGGATAGGCAAAAAAAAAAAAAAAAATCAATCTTGGTGGACTTTGAAATTGTAGATCATCTCTTTGCTTTACCAGGGACCAACTCTCAGGTTCCAGAATGGAGAGAGAGAGACAGACAGACATAGGAAGAGGAAAAGGAGGGTGGGGGGAGRGAGAGATGCATGGGTGGACTTCTCTAGCATATTCTTTACTCTGTGGCCACCAGTTAAAGGGTCAGGTCCCACTTCTCTGCACCCTGTGTTCAGCATCAGTGGGACCCAGGAGAGGAGGCTAMGGGATACCCCTGTGTGAGCATCTAGGTGACACATGCTGGTAGGCAGGGAGCAGTAGGGGAGGCAGAGGGGCTGGTGGGTGAGAACTCCAGGGGTTCAGAATGGGCTTCTGGAGAGACGGTGTTTCAGGGATGGTATGAGTTGCCATCTCTGGTGCCCAGGGATCTCCTGTGTTCCCTTCTCTCTGCTCCATATAAATTCCTGCCCACCCCCACCCCCACCCCAGCCCCAGGAGCTTTCTGTCCAGTGCCAGGAGGAGGCACTGGCAGTGCCTGTCCCGGGGCGCCCCAGCTAAGCAATGCTACCTGGTATGGAGACTCATTCTGAGCCCTAGCACGGAGCCACCACCGTGAGGCAGGCCAAGTCTTTGCAGAAGGCAGATGACACTGTGGGATAGACTGGTTTGGGCCTTTGCTTCAGGCAGAGTACCTCCTGGATTCAGCTTCTCGTTCACCCCCAAATAGTGATTTTTTTTTCAACTTTGGTTTACTCTGGGTTGAAGATTAGAAAACCTTTGGTTGTTTGACACAGTGATTAAAAATATGGGTCCAGGCTGGGAGTGGTTGTTCACACCTATAATCCTAGCGGCTCTGGAGACTAAGGTAGGAGGATCACAAGTTTGAGGCCAGCCTCAGTAATTTAGCAAGATCCTGAGCAATTTAGTGAAACCCTGTCTCAAGATAAAAAATAAAAAGGGCTGGGGATGGCTCAGTGGTTAAGTACTTCTGGGTTCAATCTCTAGTACAAAAAGAAAAAAAAAAAAAGAATGTGGACGCATCTGGGTTCCTCCTGGCTTTGTTCCTGTGGTCCCCGGTGAGCTACTTAGCCTGTCTGTGCCTCCTTTGTAAAGGAAGCATAAATATCAGTTGTGGGGACTCAAGGGTTTATCCATGAATAGGGATTTATGTCCATCTATTTGACACCTCAATAGGTGGGTCCCAAGACTTTCGTGGATTCTGGACATTGATCTGGAGATGTTTAGAGGTGGTTTTGGGAGTGGGTTCGGCAGAGGGTTATGGAACTAGATATCAGCAGATGCTGTGGGAAACGTGAGTCTAAAGATCCTTCTTGAGCCCAAAGCTTTTACTTCTCCTGATAGATCCGAGGCCTTTTCTGATTTTGTCAGCCACTCTCAGACCCAATTGAAACTTACTGTCCCTTGTCCATTCCCCAAAGGCTGCATTATTTTTGAAGTTTCTGTGCATCCTGAACCAGCATATTGATATGTTAGTGAAAAAGAACGATTTGCCCAGGATGTGGTGGCGCACACCTGTAATCCTAGTGGCTTGGGAGGCTGAGGCAGGAGGGTCATGAGTTCAAAGCCAGCCTCAGCATCAGCAAGACACTAAGCAACTCAGGGAGACCCTGTCTCTAAGCAAAAAAATACAAAATAGGGCTGGGGACGTGGCTCAGTGGTCGAGTGCCCCAAAGTTCAAACTCTGGTATGTCCCCCCAAAAAAAGAATGATTTGCTCCCTCCCCCATATTGATCATTAAACCCAGGGTATTCTACCACTGAGCTTCAGCCCTGGCCTCCAACCTCTCTTTTTTATTGTTGTTGTGCTGGGGATCGAACCCAGGGCCTTGTGCATGCGAGGCAAGCACTCTACCAGCTGAGCTGTATCCCCCGCCCAGCCCCTCTTTTTTAGTCAGGGTCTTACTAAGTTGCCCGGGCTGGCCTTGAACTTGCCATCCTCCTGCCTTAGTTTCTGGGTAGCTGGAATTACAGGCATGTGCCACCCTGCCTGGCCAATTTGCATTTTTTTAATGTAACAGGAAACTTTTGCACCTGGACTGGGTCCTTCCAGAGAAGCAATGCCCAGTGCCACATGGTGGGCTCCTGAGCCCCAGGGAAAGGAAGAGGGGGCAGGCCAGAGGCAGCCTGGTCACACAGCTCAGCTGGTGTCTCTCACACAGCTGCTCTGTCCCCACCGCTGGTATGGGCTGATGGGCAGCTGCTGTCTCTGCCCCAGAGATACATTTGCTGTCTGGCAGGTTGGAGTTTGGCTGCCTTGGGCCCAAGAGGCGGCCAAGCTTAGGGGCTGCATCAGCGGGAATCTACTCTGTTTTCTTCTGGCAGGCAAGGGGAGGGGGCATTGGATGGGGGGCCTGGGGACATTGCAGCAGCTGTCAAAGCCAGCTGGAAGAAAAAGGTCCATTGAACTACTGAATACACCAAGGCTCTGGTGTGGTGGGGCCTGGGGAAAAGTGACACAGCTTATGGAGTGCTCACTACCAGCGAGGCACCGCACGGCCTTATGGGGCTGAACCGTGTGCAGTTGCCTGTGCCCAGCTTGTTCCGACCGTCTCGAGTGGCCATTTCATATGGTGCAAACTAAGATCATTGTATTAGTTTTCATTTGCTGCAGAACAAATGACCATAAACCCAGTGGCTTAAAACAACAGGGACTTCTTACCTCCTGGGTTCTGTGGGTCCCAAATGCGGGCTCAGTCC